CAGGGAGCCCCTTCCTGTCGGGCTTGGGTTGCACCCCCCCCAAGGCGCCATCCTGTCCACTTCACCTGCCCTGAGGAGTCAGAGTGGGTGCACCCTCAGCCAGCCCCGCAGCATCGTTGCTGCCTCGGAGAAACAATGCAGAAGAAAATGTCTGGCCTTGCCTTTTTCTAGTCTTTCCGGAACTTCAGCTGTTTCTACAGGAACGCAGCCTTCCATTTGCATTTAGATGCCATGCTGTGTGGGCTGTTCAGTCCCGGGACATAGTTACACTGGCTGGCCAGCTGGCATGAGCAGATCTGGGGACAGCCACCACCAGCACGTGGTGAGTACCCGCAGCCTGGGAAGCCTGCCCCCCCTGGTGCCCCAGCCTGGGGAGAGCTGGGAGTGAGTGGGGGACCTTTCCCAGATGGGGTCCCCCGCCAGCCCCCAGGTGTCCTGAAAGCCGATTACCCTGCAGGCGCGGCCCCCAGCGCCCCTGACTGTGCTGGGAGGAGGCAGGGAGGGAGGTCCCCAGGCTGACCATGGGTGATGAGCTCAGAAGGAAACTGGGTGAGGAGACGATTAATGGGGCTCAGAGCCAAGACGCATTTGAGGGCGCCAGCCCTGAGCCAGGATCCCCCAGCCTCCACTCCCGCTCCCCCAGCCTCCACCCCCACTCCCCCAGCCTCCACCCCCGCTCCCCCAGCCTCCACTCCCGCTCCCCCAGCCTCCAATCCCGCTCCCCCAGCCGCAGGGCCGCACGCGGTTCAGGGAGATCAAGGCCTTGGAGAGAGGAGACTCCACCAGGTCCCAACTGGCTGCAGGTCGCTCCCGCCAACACCATCCAGAGCAGCTCCTACAGAGGCCTGGCGGCCAGGTGGACAGGTGGACGGCTGGTGCCCGTGGCCCTGAGGAGGGCGGGGCTGTCAGCTCCAGGCCTGGACTGGGTGGTGCCCTGGCCGGGCAGGAGGGCCAGGCTTCTCCAGGGAAAACATGCTTCACTCTCACAACACCTGCCCCAAAGGAGCATGAAGCAGACGCCAGGAGACCGTTCTCCCGACACGGACAGGCTGAGGCCGTGGTGCTGGGCGGAGTGGGTGCTGCCAGACACCCCATTTCTCCCCTGCCCGTGAGGCCAGCTGTCCTTCCTCATCATCAGTTTCACCAAAGCCCCCACACACGGAAATGACCATTACTGATATAGAACAGCTGATATTTCTGGGCACCCTTGGTGCCAGACCCCCTTGGGCTTTTCATAAATGGTCACTGAAGGGCTTAAATGAGGCCCCCACACCCCACAAAATCTGTTCAACCCCCAGAGCCTGTGACTGTCAGCTCACTGGCAGGTCTGCGCACGTAGTCGAGGGTGTGGAGCTGGGCTCTTCCTGGACTGCCCAAGGTCAAGTGTTCGGACGGGGGGGTGTGGGGGGGCAGAGGGGGTGGGAGCAGAGGAGGCGCAGGCGGAGGCAGAGGACAGAGTGACAGGCCACAAGCCGGGGGTGCCAGCAGCCGCCTGGAGCTGGGAGAGGCAGGAGGGAGCCTGCCTGGGCCTTCAGAGGGAGCAGGCCTGTCCCCCTTGGACTGTGGGCTCCAGCCTCCAGGCGTGGGAGAATGAGTTCCTGCTGCTCAGGGCCACACATGTGGTCATTGTCCCATCGGCCACAGAAAATATTACATCTCACCTGGCTGTTTCCAGGGACCTCAACAAGAAGCATCTTCCAAACACATAAACATCATCAAATGGATTGAATTAGTCCCAAACACGTGCATGTAGCCTCAACGTCTGGCCACTAGTCAGACGGAAGCATCTTAAAGTGAGAGAGCTCAGGAGCCGCCTCACTCACTCCGTGTGCTGTCATCAGGCGGCTATAACATATGCCCACACACCGGAGGCTTGTGCACAGCAGACACTTGTTGTTTACAGTGTCGGAGGCTCCACGTCCAAGGTGGAGGCACAGGCACGTTCAGGGTCTGGTGGGGTGCTTCCTGGTTCACGTGGCCGTCCTGTCATCTCGTTGTGCCCTCACCTGGTGGAAGGGGTGAGGGAGCTCTGTGGGCCTCTTCTTGCAAGGGCACTAATCCCATCCATGAGGACTCCACCCTCATGACCTAATCACCTCCCAAAGGCCCCTAATACAGTACATCACAGCGGGGGGACACAGTGTGTCTACAGGTCACAGTGGGAAGGCACACATTGGGTCTGCAGGTCACAGTGGGGGGCCACAGTGAGTCTGCAGGTCACAGTGGGAGGGCACACAGTGAGTCTGCAGGTCACAGTGGGAGGGCACACAGCGAGTCTGTAGCAGTAACTTATGAGCATGAGGATCTGACTGTGTTCACAGCGAAGTGAATGCCTGAGAACTCAATTCTGACTGCACCTACCCGGAGAGAGACAAGACCTCACAGATTAGGAGCTCAGTGCCACAGCACTGCCATCTGCTGCAGACGCCAGGAGCGAGCCCAGGCCGTCATCTGCACTCTCACCGCCTGCCTACCATCAGAGGTCCCACGCCTGCTTTCCTCAGGTTTGATTAGTTTGCTGGGATGGCCCAGAGGACCCAGGAACCCGTTCACTCATGATGACTGATCAATGACCAGGACACCGATGGCTCTGAGTCAATAGCCAGATGAGGTCCTTGGAAACCTCAGTTCCATGTTGGGGAGCTCCCTAGCGAAGGGCCCCAGCTGCTCCTCTGGGCTTAATGGGGCTTCATTAGAGTCACGACTGACAAAGTCATGGGCATTGCAGATAACTCAGCCTCAACCAGCTCTTCTCCCCAGAGGTCAATGGTTTATCTCCGGGCAACCGGCCCCACCCTTAGGTGCAGTCCCCTGTCACCTCATTAGCACAGCAATCACCTTCCTTGTCCTCATCACAAGGGCCTGAGGCTAAGGCCACACACGTATTTCTCATTATGACTCACAATCTCATTCCAGGTGTCCCCGCCCGTCTCTTTTGTCCATACAGACTGGGATGCGGCCCTGGACGGAGACCCGCTGGCCTCACAGCCTCTGGACATGGTCACTGCCATGTCACCGTGCTCATTCTGTCTCCCGCGAGCCCCTCACCCGGGCACCCTCCCATGGGCACAGGAAATGTGGGATTAATGTGCCTGGGTCTTGGACTCTGCCCTCCGTGAGCTATTTTATAGAAACCTGCTTTCGGCCCCAGCACGTGGGGACAGGATAGAAGTCCATCACCTGGGGTGGCAGAGGATCGCATCTCATCATTTGCATCCTCATTAGCTTCTGGTTTTACACATCATAATTAAATAACTAATTAGACACCCATATGAGCGTGACAAACAAGCTTAAGAAACTGACAACGTTATGCCCTTGAAAGACTCGCTGGGAGTCCGTGTGCCCCGCCCCCACAGGAGGCCTGGGACCTGAATTCTCCCTGTGAGATGCTGGTGAGCAGAGGGCAGCAGGCGTGGTGCTCCCCGAGCCGTGTTTCCTGTGGCCCCTCTCCCCATGCCCACTCCTTCCATCCACTTCTCATCTTGCTCTTGGAAATGATGCCACTTTGTCCATCAACTTCCGTCTCACCTGTGCAGGGCGATGATGAACAACGCGCGTGCTGCTTTGATCTGTGCTGTGATGGTGACAATGAAAAATGCTGAAGAGTAAGGCTCTTCACATTTCAAAGAAATCGCCGACATCGAAAAAGGCATTAGGCTGTATCTGGTGCATTTAACATTCACGGCAAGTATCGTTCCATTTGACTAAGTTGCCTCTGGTATTTCATTTGGAGAGAATGCAAGCTCAGCTCCAAACATTGGCCCACTTTGCCACCTTCCCTGGAGGAGACCTGTTGGAAGCAAGCCCCCTGCTCCCACGTGATTTCCAGCGGGAGGCGGTGTTGAAGGCAGAAGGTCTCCCGCTGGCCTCCTTTCTGCCAAGAATGGGACTGGTTCAGGCCCAGCCCAGCTGGAAAGCCGTTTGCTAAGAGCGGCCGTGGCCTTGCAACAGAAGACGGGCACACATCTCAGAAATTCCCATCCGTCAACACACCACCTGCGGCAGGTCCCAGCGGTCCCCGTCTGCCCTCGGGTGTGTGTGTGTGGGAGACCATCACATTGGAATTTCCTGTAACAATCTGCTATCCACATGGCAGGAAGGCGAACTTTTCAGGACTGAGCCTCATCTTCTCCTCAGCCTACATCCTTCAGCGACTTTGCTACCCTCAAGAGAAACGCTGAGTCCCAGGCTGGCCCCTGCTGGGTCAGAGCACAGAGGCAGCGGCAATCGTGGGGTGATGCCTGCACTGGGCTTTGGGGTGAGCAGGTGAAAAAGCCCGCACCCCACAAGCACCAAACTTCTGATCGCCTTCTCTTTGCCTATTAGGTGTTGAACTTACTTTTCTTCTCATGATCATTGGATCAAGCTCAGCCCATATTAATGCCTTTCAGGCTGTTTATCCTAAAACAGAAGGAGAGAATAGACATTGGGTCTGCACCACACGCCTGGGTCTTTCCAGGGACCGTGGGGACCCCAATAAAACGCCCTCCCAGCGAGAAGGTGCAAGGCGGGGCTGCTCTGGACGAATTGCTCATGAGCGTGGCGTGCTCTTAGCGTGGGCGCCGAGCTCCGCTGCCCCGCTGCCTGCTGCTCCAGTGCGATGCGCAAGCCCGTGCAGCTCGGTGTTTGCGGGGAGTGCACACTTCTCACCTCGGGAAGCCCCTGGCTCCGCCGGGATGAATGACACGTCTGCCGGTTGCAGAGATGTGCCTTTTTGCAAAACTGCTCCCCTGCTTCTTTTAGAGCATTCGTGAGTGTTCTTCAGGGTGCAGGTGCCGATCACCCACATCTGCTACAGTGTGTGTCTCCCTCCTGGTGCAAAATGGAGATGCGTTCTTTTTCAGGAGGAGCAAATGGCATCGGTGCTCCTGCAACGGGACAGAAGTTAAGGCGCGCATGGGGCATGGATGGCGCTGGTCACCTCACACCCAGCTTCTCGGTTCCCAAACGGCGCTGAGGTCCGGGGCCGGGGGGGGGGGGGGGGGGGCGTGCCTGCCTCACAAGCAGGGCCTCTGTGCAGTGACTCCCCAGGAGAGACGCTCTCAGAAAAAGAGCCGAACACAGACCTTCTCCCGGCGTCTGGAAGCGCCACCTCCCACGGTGGAAATGAAGGTGTTCCGGAAGCACCTGCTTTCAAAGGACCAAAGTCCAAAGCAACATTGAATCAACTGATACTGGCGGGGGGACTTAGAATCTGATAGATAGAGCACCTAATTAATCTGAAAAATAATGATATTATTTTAAGTCTTAGAACACATATACTTACGTGAATAGGGGGTTAAGTTTTTCTCAAGTTTCCTTTTCAAGGCCTGTGTGAAGCAATTAGGGAGGTGACTCAGCTGTGAATCCAGCAGGCAGAACCGCTAAGCATGGTCAGACCGACCGAGCAAGAGTCAAAACATCATCTTGTCAACCTCATCTCATCGCCTGGTGACTAAAGACAGTGGCTGAGGTCTGCAGACCTCCAGGGCTGCACCTAGCTGCATTCCGTCCCCAGCCTCACCCCCCCACCCCCCCTTTATAATTCTGTCCCCTGCACCTTGTGGTAAGATAGGATTTGAATGTTTGTAAGCACCCAATCTTCTTGGTTGGCTGGCCTTCTCAATAAACACCTTATATGACTCAATCCTGCCTTCCTTACTGGACACAGGGAGAGGCAGCCCGAGCCCGACCAGGGGTTTCTCGGTAACATATTTTGGCCACTCAACAGGACACCCTCCTCTGAGCCCTAGGGTAAGACCCTGCGGGGAGTGCCCAAGGGCTGGGCGGCTGCCTGGACTTGGGAAACGTCTTGCAGGCACCTGTGGAAACTCCCCGGCAGCTGCTGAGTGTTTAACTCGGGGACTTTCCTTAAGTGCTTACAAACTTCCCGGCGCCTTCGCTACTGGTTAAATCGGCATTCTTTCTGTGTGCCTGTTCTCGGTAAGTCCCGGGCACTAAGCCAGGAGTGGCATATTTAAGGTACCGTCTGTTTCTGCTTCTGTGTGGGTATTGAATACCTTCTGATTCTCTTTCTGTTTGTGGGTGTTGAATAACTCAAAAAGCATGGGAAATGCATTGGCAGCCCCACCTGGCAGCTCTCTGGACCACATGCTGGCTGATTGGTCTACATCTTCTGAAAGATCTTTAGAAAGAACTCTGATTTATTTTAAGCTACATATCTCTGGGAATAAACTTTCAGATCATCCCCTCGAACTAGATTAAAAATATTAGAACTCTATAAAGTATCTAAATTTATATAAATACTGGCAAGAAAAATCAGGAGAAACAGAATTTGATTATAGAACAGAATGAACTGAAAATAATTATAGTTTTTATAATTTTTTGAAAGTATTACTGATGTTTAACCTTCTTGTTTTCTGGACATAAAGGAACTTGTTTCTTTTCTTAGAGCAATTTGGTAAATTATATTGAGGCATTTATATTTTTCTCCATACCTGATCCCTCCAGAATTTGGAAACTCTTATTGTTCTAATGGTAATGTGTTTGTTTTCATGAATCCAATAAGAATCTGATTTCCTCATAGCAGGACAAAAGTCAGTTTCCAGTTGTGGTTTTATTAACCAAAACTTTACTGGAATGTCATGTCTGAGAGAGACAGGCCAGGACTCTGGGTGTCACCAGAAGCTCTGAGGAATGAAGACTGACTCTGAAGCCGATAAGCCCCTTGGATAAATAGCCTGGTCCCTGCCTGGTCACGTGTTCATGGCCGTCTTTCCGGGTGAGGAATGAAGGTTGCTTTCCTGAGAGAGAGCAAGAAGTAACCGCCAGACACCTGTGGGGACCTCCAAAACTTGAGGAATGCACCCCAATTCTGTAAGTATTGTAGGCAAGGCCTGGTGGCAACTGTGTGGCTTGGCTTCTTTGCCCTGAGAGTAAACTTTCTCATGAGATTCCAGTAAAGAATATTTTTTAATAGTCTATGTGATCAACTGTTATTCTTGTGTTTATGCAAACAACCAGGCCAAATTGTAATTAGACTTAATACAGTAAGTAATTTGGTCTTAATTTGGCTCTTTAATAAAAATGAGGGTGATTTTAGGGAGAAAAATTGTGTTTCAACAGGAAATTATTAAAGCTAAAATATTTTTTCCTTCCACCAGACCATCTGTCATAATTCCTCTGCTGTTCTAATTTTTGCCCAATAAAACTAAATTTTATAACACTGTTTGTCTCCACCAGGTTACAAGCCCTACTCGCACCTACAGAATGCCGCCTCTAGACACCACTGCCACCTCCTTCCACGCCCAGGCCTCATGTCCCTCTGACAGAGAGCAAGGATCTCTTCTCTCCGAGAGAAACCTTCATCTCCCCTCAGCAGGCAGGAGTTTCAGAAGAGACTCCATGGCCCTTTTCCATGAAAGAATTCAGAGCCAAGGTCCTTGAGGGGTGTGGGGGGCAGTTAGGCATGAGCAGAGCAAGGGCGCTGGGCCAATCGGAGGAGAAGTGGATGGGCCCTGAGACGTGCTTCTCACCACACCAGCTGCTCTGAAGCTGGCAATGGAGGAACCTGTGTAGAACTGACCTTTACATTTTGCTGAGTAGGAGTTGGGATACTTATATGTCACCTAAAAATAGAGGTTTCTAAGGGTTAAGAATTCGAACTAAGTGGAAAGCATTTACGGTTGTAGTGTAATAGAAGGCATAGAGATGCATTTTAAAGGAAAAAGAAAGCAGGTTAACAAACTGAAAGGGACTAGGTGGGTTGCAGAAGGTATGTGTAAAATGCAGAGGGTCTGTGCAAGTTAAAGAAGAATTAGAGTTGAAGTAAGAAAGGTGAGAAGGGATACAAAGAAAGGGATATAACAGGAAGAAAGGATATTAGAGTAGGAATACTTAAGAAGGGAGTAGAAAAGAAGTTGTATAGTTTTGGTAACAGGCATGAGGTAGAGAGACAAAAATGAAGAAAGGTTTGTGAAAGTTGTAGAAGGGTTGTAAAGCGAAATCTTAAAAGGAAATTATAGGTATACTGAATAATAAATCTAATTGGATAAATCTAAAATAAACTAATACAGAATGTGGTTCTTTTCCTTAGCATAAAGAATTATTGTAATTTGTTTATTATCTTGTTGCTTTATTCAATGTATGCCTCTCTTTTCTAGTGCATGTCAATTCATCAGACTTAAAAGGGGTTATTGCTGCATAACAGGGGTAAAATTAGTGGCACTACAGCAATATAATAAATTTAAAAATAAAATTTAGTATAGTATAAGGTTGATAGATATCAACTTATCTACCTAATGATGGGGGGGGGGGACTTATAATCTGACGAAGCACCTGAATTAATCTGAAAAATCATATTATTTTAAATCTTAGAACACATATATACTTATGTGAATCGGGGGTTAAGTTTTTCTCAAGTTTCCTTTTCAAGGCCCGTGCTAAGCGATTACGGAGGTGACTCAGCTGTGAATCCAGCAGGCAGAACCGATAAGCATGGTCAGACTGACCCACCAGGTGTCAAAGCATCAACTCATTGTGGACGAAAGGGGCCACATGCGAGCCTGACAAGCTCAGGGAAGGTCTGCATGGTGGTCTTGCAAACTCAAAGACCTAAAGTGACCACCAAGGATGGTCTGAATTTAAACTTTAACTGAAAGCAGTGATGGTGGGTAGTCCTAGGCTGCTATCCTCACTGACAAGGTCAGCTTTTACCTTAACTGAGCCTATCTGTCTTTTTGCATCTATGGTAACACACCCTTGAAATGTCTGGGTAACCTATAACCTCTCTTTTTCTGGACCCCTTGGGGCACAACCTGAAGTGCCTGGGCACCAGGACAGATACCACACATTCCTTCCTTAGTATCATGTTACTTGTTGACTATTGGCTATCCTGCACCCACCTATGTGCTATCCAATCCCAGAGGTTTCCCTGCTTTGCTTTCTCCCGCCTCTCTAATCTATCACCAATGAATTTCATGTAACCCACCTGCATCCCCTCCTTTGATTGTAATGCATAAAAATAGATGAGAAAACCGCCATTCTCTGGAGCATTATCACAACTCGTTGAGATTCTGCTTCCCAGCAATTGTCAACAGTTTGGCTCAAATAAACTCACACAAATTCTTTACAGGTTTGAATGTTTTTACATTAACATCATCAACATCATCTTATCAATAGCATCTCATCGCCTGATGACTAAATGACAGTGGCTGACTTCTGTAGACCTCCAGGGCTGCACCCAGCCTCACCCCACCACCCCACCCCCCCTTTATAATCCTGTCCCCTGCACCTTGTGGTAAGATAGGATTTGAAGGCTTGTAAGTGCCTTGTCTTCTTGGTGGGCTGGCTTTCTCAATAAACACCTTATATGACAATACTGCCTTCCTTACTGGACACAGCGAGAGGCAGCCCCAGCCCCCCTGGGGGTTTCCTGGTAACAATACCTCCCATTAAAAAGCAATAAGAGGGACCTGGAGAGTAGCATGCTGAGTGAAATAAGTCAGTCAGAGAAAGACAAGTATCACATGATCTCACTCCTCTGTGGAATCTAATGAACAAAATAAACTGGTAAACGGAGTGGATCCAGAGACATGGAAGCAGGGAACAGAGTGCGGAATCCCAGAGGGAAGGTGGGGGAGGGTGGGTAGGTGGGAGGTGATTAACCAAGGACCTTGTGTGCATATATGCATGGCCCATGGACATAGACAATAGGGTGCTGAAGGCTGGGGGTGGTGGGGGGCCAGTAGGGGCAGGTTGGAGTGGGTCAGTGGGGCGGGAAGGGACATATGTAATACTTTCAACATTAAAAATTTTTTTTAAAAAAGCAGTAAGAGCCAAAGTGCACCCCTCTCCCCACTCTCCCTCCTGCTGGCTTTCCCCTCTCCTCGATGGAGAAGGATATGGAGACAGAGATGAAGGCACTCCAAAGGGCTCCACTGGGACCTTTCTATGATTCTTGTCGCCCCCCCTCCCCTCCCAGACCAGCAGGGCAGGTTTCCTCTATTTGCATTTCAATCCTCACCTAATTCCAAACTTAGAGTTACAGGCTTCTCCCAGCTTCTCTTTTAAATGCGACATTATCACTTTGAGGAAGCATCCTATGTAATACCTTCACTAGACAGAGAATTGATTGAGACACAGCTGGGACCGAAAGCCCAGGCCTCATTCTGTAAGCCTGTGATTGTACAGTAACCCCCAATGAGTCTGTTCTTCAGTCTCCTAATTAATTTTTAATTAAAAAGCTCAAAGATGCTAATATGCTCACTGGTTGTTGTGAATGGCAGCCTCGCGCCTGGACGCGGCAGGCGGTGCAGAGGATGCCTCCCATGGATGCCTCCCTTAGAGTCGGTGTTAAGGAGGCTGCTGCCTGGGGTTCCTGCACGGCTGGCCACGGTGGCAGCTCTCTCCCCTCCTCACGTGTGAGCTGTGTGCACAGGGAGGGCGATGAGTTTGTGTATGAGAAGCTGTCCAAACCTTTACCCAAACACACTCTTCTCCCACCCTCCCCAGCACCCCGCTAATTACATTCCTCGGCAAATTACATCGAATTCTTTCAGGAGTCGAAGAGGCGCTTGCTTCTTACAGTGACACTCTCCTGCCTACTGGAGGCCATCCTGATGGGAAGTTAAGGGACTCTCTCCTCCTGCCCCTGCTGGGCAGACCCCTCCAGCCTCTCCCTCTACTGTGTCCGTCCACCCTGGCCCAGCGAGAGCCGTGTGGTGCTGCAGGAATTAGAACTGCTTCTCTGGCCACGGGGAGTCACACAGGGAACTATCGATAGCACCGGCAGCAAGCGTCTCTTCTCAAGGCCAGCTCTCAGCAGCAGGAGGGGCGTCCTTCAGAAATGCCCACCTGTTCTCCTTGCCTGTGACTCAGCTGTGAGCACCTGGCCTGCCACGTGGAGGACTCGGATTCGGAAGTTGTGGTGACCTGTTTCCTAGCCTTACTTTTCCATTAAAAGGAAACTTTTACAGAGCCGCCATTGTCTTGTTGTTCTTATACTAACGTGAGATTTGTAAAAGGCATGGGTAGCATTCTGGGGGTTGGGAGGACATGTCCCCCCTTTTCCAATTTTCCAAAGGAAGGTCCAGGGCTAGCCACACCTGCGGGCCAGGGGAGCTCAGGCCGACTCTCTGCCGGTCACTCCCTTCTCCCTGTCCCGCAGCCTGGCTTCTCCGCCTCCACCTCAGACCCGGCGGTCCCGTCTCCGAGGGCGCCCTGTGCACTGGAGGGGTTAGCCCAGTGGTTGGCAAACTGCGGCTCGTGAGCCACATGCGGCTCTTTGGCCCCTTGAGTGTGGCTTTTCCACAAAATACCACATGCGGGCGCGCACGTAGAGTGCGAATGAAACTTCGTGGCCCATGCGCAGAAGTCGGTATTTTGTGAAAGAGCCACACTCAAGGGGCCAAAGAGCCGCATGTGGCTTGCGAGCCACAGTTTGCCGACCACTGGGTTAGCCACATCCCTGGTCTCTTCCATAGATGCCAATGGCAGGCCCTGCAGCCCTGACAGGCAAAAACGTCTCCAGATACAGCCACACGTCCACGACTACAGCTTTAATAAAAGTGGACTCTGCGGCCCTGCTGTGGCCAGGTCCCAGCAGGTCTCAACGCCTGCTGCTGAGGATAGGCTGTGCGCAGCATAACCACTGTGGCCCGCCAGCTAACGCATGGGGTTCCGTCTCACCAGCCTGTCAGGAGCACCTTGTCTGCTCAGTCAGAATGGGGCAGCCAGACCAGGTCCCAGTTTGCATGGCACCTGGAATCTGCACAGCCGAGAGTGCAGGCAGGACCAGGCAGGAGTGGCTGAGACCACGGAGGCTAGGCCCCACCCGTCCGGAGCTGGGGGGCAGGGCGGAGCAGCCGGACGCTCCTGCCTGGGCCTCCACCCTCCCAAGGCGTGCCATGCTTGGCAAACTGAATGACAAGTTGCAACACATTCTTTTTATTTACAGAAACTCGGGCACACTTTTTGAGAAGGGGGGCAGCATCTTTCTAGGTGAAACATCTCTCTTAATTTCTGTGTTTTCTCAGTCTGGAGTGGGGGGCTTCTCCACGGAGGACCACGGTCCACATACAGAATGTGCTGCCTCCCGGGGGCTGGTGAGTGGGAGGAACTCCTCCGCGAGAGAGGGAGCCCGGCACCTACAGCCAGAAGGCCCGCTGAGTCCCGGCTGGGCTGGGCCGAGCTGTGGGGGCCTCCTCGGTTCCCCAGGGGGACTGAGCCTGTTCTCGCCACCTCCCGGGATGTGTGCAGGGAGAGTGTGGGGTGCATGCGGATCCTGACTGCAAGAGCGGTGGGCAAGCTGTAGATCACCATTGCAAATGTTGGTTAATTTCTAATAAGGAAACATTTCTCAATGGCCAGCAGCAGGTAAGCAGAATTAACTTCTGGGGAACCCCTCCCGGGTGCTCAGCTGCCTCAGCTCCCAGCACAGCTCGTCGTCGTGGCTTTTGAGGCCACCAGTGCTCAGCTCTCCCAGGAGAGGCTCCCTCTGCCCCAAAGTCCCTATTCTCAGCTGTTTCCACAGGGGCGCCCAGAGGCGAGTGTTGTACAGACACCGCCTCATTCCAGCGGGGAGAACAGCACCTTCCCAGGGAGCTCGCTGCCTAGGAAGAGGGTTGGCTAAGGCCCTGCAGGGCAGAGGCAGCGTGGTGAGCAGCGTGGCGAGCCGGCTGAGACTCCAAGCCTTCCTGCAGCATCCAGAAGCACCTGCAGTAACGCGTTAATGTCACACCTGCCTCCTCTACCGGGAAGCCAGGGGGGCTCTGCTGGCCGCTGGGCATCACTGTGTTGGAAGAATTAGCACCGCTTTCAGTCCCAGCGCCCTGGGCTCCCCCAGGCCCTGCTCCTGAGCGGGCTCCTGGCCAGGCCACTGCCTCCTGGGCCCTGGCCTGAGCTCAGCTTTGAGTGGAATGAGTGTCAGCTTTGCAAGTTCCCTCCAAGTGGGACTGAGGGTCGGCCTCCACCTCCGAGGTTGAAGGCTGAAACCCTGACAGGCACCACCCCACCCAGCTGCATCTTGGTCCTTGAGGAAGGCGTTTGCCTTTGGCGGGGGAGGGGGGGGGCAGGGGGGCGCTCTAGCCATCCCCCTCCCCAGGGAGACAAGCCGACCAGGCTCCTCATTCCCAGCTGGCCCCCAGGGACTCCCCACCATGGCTGTCCAGAGCCAGCACCCGAGACCCTGGTGAAGAGCTGGTTCCAATAACCCCGAGTGGATGAGGTACCGAGCATTCAAACTGTCTGGTCACGCGTGCTCCACGCTCCGGACTCCCAGGAGAGAAGCTGGGCCAGGCCAGAGTAGGGCTCTCTCTGGGGCGAGGCTCACTCAGGAAGAGACCCCACCGTATGCAAACGGATTATTCCTGAAGCCGTGGGGCAGGCCAAGGTCTGGGCTGCCAAGCAATGACCATCCGGGCTTGCCTTGCGGTGCTGTGGGGGAGGGGGACGGGGGCGGGGCACAGCGCACACTCATTTCCAGGGCTGACACGTGGTGTGGTTCCCACACTGAGTGCTTTTACTCTCCTCGTCCAGATTTCCACTCAGTGTCCGCCCTGACCTATGAAACTGAAGGCCGGCGTTCCCGCCTGTGGCTGGGCCTCCTGCACCTTACACCTGATGTGAGGTGACTGGCCCCTCACTCCCCACCCACCTGGGGGCGGACTGCACCACTGTTGCATTCACAGGGGCAGGGAGGGCAGTAGCTGCCCCCAGTGCCAGGGTCTGAGCGTTTGTGCCCCTCCCCCACCTGATTCATGTGGGACTTTGGGATGATTAGTTCATGAAGGTGAAAGCCTTATCAGTGGGATTAGAGACCTTTTAAAAGAGACCCCGAGAGCGCCCGCACCCCCTCACCCTGATGACACAGTGGGGAGCGCCTCTATGAACCAGGAAGCCAGTCCTCACCAGACACCTAGTCTGCCAGCACCGTGACCTCTGGATGACGCCCAGGCTGTACCTGTGAGGAGTGGAGGTCCGTCCAGGGCCCGTCGGGTGGATCCGCAGCAGCCGGTGCTCTGAGACCCAGGCCGCCGGCCAATGACAGCAGGGCCGGCGACCCGTATCTAGGAGCCAAGGTGAGCTGCGAGGCGGAGCTTCAGGTGCTGACTGTGCCAAGCACCCCACTGCTCTCCCCAACGCGCCTGCTGGGGCGCTCATAGCCTCACTCAGCCGGGCACACGCCCGCCGCCTCCTGCACACCGGAGCCCCACGCCAGGAGGGGCCAGGGCACGCACAGTGTTGAGGGCCGGACGGATGGGCCTACAGACGGACCAGGAGCCCAGCGGCCCTGCTGTGGCCAGGTCCCAGGCGGCTACCTGCCCCGGCAGGTGACTCCAGAGGTGCTCGCACTGCCAGTCTCTCTCCGAAGGCCCCGAAATGAACTAGGAGGTGCCTTGGCCGCTGGTTTTTCTCATCAGCCAGGGGAGACCTCAGGGAAGTGGGGGTGACCGCAGACCCAGTGCTAGGCCTCCATGCCCTCAGGCGTAGTCACCCGCTCGCACGCTGAAGCCGCACTGGGAGGTCTGCACTGCAAATTCACGTGGCAAAGCACATGGACGTCCCGGGAAAAGGCTCCTGTCTCCAACGGAAATGCCTCACTACGTCCGAGAACAGACTGGCTGCGCTGCCCCAGGCAGGGGAGGCCACCTGGTCCTCAGAGGAAAAGAAGCTGGTGGTGAAAGTGAAAGTGAGTGCCCCTCTCCCCCGCCCCCCACCTGGCCTTAAGGAGCAGCACCTCAGGGGAGGCTTTCTGCTGGGAAAGGGGGTGGCTGGGTCCTCGGGGCAGCTCTGGAAAGCGGCAGCTGTGTCTCCTGCACCTGCGCCACTAAGTCAGGGCAAACACGACTAAAAACAGAGGTTGCAATCACATCCCTATTATTTTTCCATATCTCGGATTCATCCAGGCGGCAGGAGAGATATCTAACAATGACTTAGCAGCCTTCTCTACTAGTACAAAATGAGAGGATGGATACAGATGATGCTGGAGAAAGTACTGAGCACGGAATATTAAATTATCCCAGGGTGGGCGCTGGCCCGTGAGTAATGCCCCCTCCCCAGCCCGGGCGCCGGCCTGCGAGGCCAGGCTGTGGGGCTGAGGAGGCAGGAGCTGCCGGACACCTGCTGACACGGTGGCCTCCCCGTTTGCAAGCGCTCAGAGGCGCCTGGAACGTGCGTGCAGAGGCAGCTGCAGGCCGCCTCCGCTCCTCTGCAGAGCCACTTCATCTCGCACGCCGCCGTGGACAGTCATCAGTAATGAAGCCATTAATGCAGGAGGGTGGAGAGAGAACTGCCTGCCAGCCTTCTCCATTAAACGCAGGTACTTCGCACATCTCTAATTAAGATCGAGGCTTGAGTTCCAATTGACAAAGCACTCCATCCCCACGATACGCAGCCACGGGTGCTGGAGGGCAGAGCTAATGCAGTGAGTGGGTAATGGCGTGGATAATTCCAATAAAGATTTCCAATTACACTAGGTTCTGGAGGTTAACTGTGCTACTCGGAGAGGGAGCACGCCCCTGGGTGAGGGGCCTGGTCTCCCCGGGATGTGTCCTGAGACCGTGGCTGAGTGATTTGCCTGGAGCCGAGGGCACCACCTCAGAGCCCAGGACCCCCCTGAGATCCAGATCCACCGCATCGACTATTCCCCACCGGATTCACTCCCCGGAACATGAACAGACCCACAGGTTCATGGAAAAGATGGGTGGCCAGGCAATTCCCAAGAGAGTGACACGTTTATTTCCACTCATTCCGAAATTTGGAGAAAACATGTTGACATTTGCAGAGGATCCCACGCTTTCCCAAAGGAGCCAAGCTTGACTGCTAACGTTCGGCTCATACCTAAGGAACCCACATCATATGAGAGTGGGGAGGAGGGAGGACTTGCAATGTTTTGGCCATTGTAGCTTCAAGTATTAATTTCTCTTTAGGTGACTAGGCGACAGAGGGGTGGGGGAGGAGGCTCCCAGCAGATTGTCTGTGAAGTGCAGGAAGGCTCCTCATACACCAGGGGGCGCTCTCCCAGCCTGGGTCACTGCACCCACAGGTGTTCTGCCTCCATGGCCAGCTAGATGACTTACCTGCTCACCTGCAAGAGGTAGACGCCCACCCACGTGAGCACTTAACCAAATATTTGGGTTTGCTCTGTTTCCTTGCTCTTTTTCAAAAGACCAGCCACCATGAGTAACCAAAAACCCTCCAGGTTTTCACAAATTATCCTTCCCTGTGGTTTTCGTGATGGCCACGGCAGGAGTCGTGGTGCCGTGGGTCTCCCTCTGCACCGTGAACATGGTGACTGGCGGCTGTGTCTCTGCGCCTTTGGACAATCCCACAGAACCCAGCAGACTATAGTTAGGCCACCTGGCCTTAAAGATCTCTACTAAGGCATATTCCCGAATTCTGTGCAACTTTAATATTCACATTATTTTCTTTGGGGGGATTACCATTAATCCATTTTTAATGGGCCATTTTAAAGTTTATTTCACAAAATACTTGTTATATGCCTACATCTTGGAAAACAATGACTGCTTTTGAAAAAAGGTTGTGAGAAAAGAAATCAACATTACCAAATCCCCAAGTCTCCTTTTATGGCTTAAAACAATTCAATAAAAGAGTTTGCGATGGTCATACATTTAAAACGCCTACGGAAATATTCAGGCTGAAAGGCCAGAGCCTTTCCTCCCGCTCCCGCCGGCCGCCCCACCCCCAGGAGGCCCGGAGAAGAGTTTGGTCTGCAAGTTTTCAGAGCAAAGTTGGAAAAGTTATACTTTTGTCACAAGAGAAGAAGTGGCTTTAATAAAATATTTTAAAATTTAATAAAGTAACCAAGAAAGCAAGTAATAAAGCAAGAGAAAGGGAATCTTGATAAAATTATCTGGGTGAACAGACCACAGCAGGAATTAATCTAAACCCCACACAGGAGGCGCCGAGGCAGTCCACAGCCCCTCCCGTCCAGGCCATGAGCCCACCCCTCAGGAGCCCTAGGCAGCAGATTCTGCAAGAAGCCCTGGTGTGTTAAACAGAGAATCTTGTCACTTGGGGGCAGGCGGGTGGGGGGGGGGCGGGGGGGGGGTAGTCGGGGGGAAGGTTATGAAGACAGGCGAGGAAAAGGCAAACGAACAGGAAGCAAGTAGTAATGCACTGGGTGGGTGGTTTTTTATGTCCCTGCAAATGGCTCTCCCTGCTTCTGGTGGTTGCAGGACTTAGAGCTCCCTCGGTCTGGCATTGCAGGTGACCCCATCACGTGGAGGTTAGGGGGCCGACCCCACCGCCTGCAGTTGAAAATCCATGTATAACTTTGGACTCCCCCAGAACTTAACTACTAATAGCCTACTGCTGACCGGAAGTCTTACCAATAGCATGAATAGTCGATCAACATGTTTTCTATGTCATATGTGTCACAGACTGTGTTCTTACAATAAAGTAAGCTAGAGAGAAGATGCTATGAAGAAAGTCATGAGGAAGAGAAAAAGCATTTACGGTACCACGTGTATCTACTGAAAAACTCCTCCTGTCAGTGAGCCCGCACACTCAAACCTGGTTGCTCCAGGGTCACCGTGTTTCCATGGTGGCCCTGTCTAATGGCAGAAGTGGATATAGCAGAGCCTCCTCCGCTGGCACCTGTGAGACTCTTCCCAACCATAGGCCACAGAACCGAGGCCCCTGGGAGGCCCAGGCAGGCATAACACCATTAGCACCGTCACCTCGGGAGGCCCCATAACCTGGCAGGAGGAGTCCCAGCTACACAACCAACACAGTAGCTGCAACATTCAACAACATACTTACACTCAAGACACTCAATTCACACACACACGCATGCAGACACATGCAACAGTGTGTGAGGTCATTCCGTGAAAAGTGCCTAGAATGTAGTAAACATAACAAATCATAGCAAACACGAGTGATGAAGAAAACTGAGACATGTGAAAACAAGGTAGAAACGAGGCCCTGACAAAAAAATGCCCAGTGCTTTGCCCCCGTCCCCGTGCCCTGGCTCATCGCTGAGGCTCAGCTGGCTTTCCGGGCTTTGATTGGGTCACTCGCTGACTGCCAAAAGCATGGTGGCTCCACTCTCCCAGCCAAGTGTTCCCGAGCACATGCCACGCGCCAGGCCCTGTGCTCAGCACTTACAAGCAGACCCTCCAACCCCATGGGGCAGACTCTGTCACCGTCCACCTCACTGACAAAGGATCAGGGTCCAAGTTCACACTGCTAATAGAAGGTGCACGGGGCCTTGATCCAGGTTCCAGGATCCCAGGGCCCAAGCACTTCACCTGGACCACAGACACCACACGTGTCCAGACTTCCCCTAGCACCCTGAGACCGTGCCAGGCCACGCTCCCTGTTCTGTTGGTTACAGAGCCTTGCACATGGCTGTGGCCCAGATGGCAGGGTAGAATGACCAGCCCAGCTCCTCCCCCTCACGTCCTCAGCCCCTGCCGGGGAAGACGCTCACAGATCCCCTTCCCCTTTTGTCTTTCCTCTCGAGCACAATCCGCTGAGATGTGTCTGTTTGCTGTCCCTGACGCTCCCATGCTCTGGCCCCAGTGGGCCTTGAGTGAGGACCTGAGGGGCAGGGTGGCTCACAGCAGAGGCTGCCTGAGCACCTGCCTGGCCAGCACTCCGGCCTGCTCCACAGCGGAGGACACAGGGCCCCAGCGCAGTCTGTCCTCACTGCAGGACGCTTCGCCTGGGCAACTCCAGCAGCATTAGCGTGGCCAGGGCAACCCAGCTGGGGGAAGCTATCACCAGCCCTGGGGGCACTCAGCCCTGGGCATGTAACCCCTAATCCCAAGTGTTTGGCCTTTTTAGGGATTCTGCAAGCTATGAGCTAGAGCGGGTTATTCGCAACTGAGAACCATGAGCAACATGGGGAAGCAAAGGAAACATTTCAGAAAAATGAAGGGGAAGTGGGCGGAGGGAGGCAGTGGAGGGAGAAGACAGCTGGTCCAGTTTGTATTCCTTACCAGGCACACTCAGCTGCAGCGCCTCTCCTGTGACCCCTCGTCCCTGTCCTCAGATGAAGCCTGGATACTGCGGGATGCTCTGTGGGGGCCTCACACACTCACCTGCCCGCCTCTGTCACTCCCGGCCCTGCACATGCAGGCATGGATGCTCTGTGGGGGCCTCACACACTCACCTGCCCGCCTCTGTCACTCCCGGCCCTGCACATGCAGGCATGGATGCTCTGTGGGGGCCTCACACACTCACCTGCCCGCCTCTGTCACTCCCGGCCCTGCACATGCAGGCATGGATGCTCCTGGTAACAAGAATTCTTATCAACAGAAACCAAGAGGTTTTTGTCCCCCTGGGTTGTGTTTGCGGTGTTGGCAGGAAGGCAGGGGGTCCTACAGGGAGAATGACTAGGTGTAAACCAAACTGATGATTTCAGGGTCACTGGGAGGGTGCCTCCAACCTCCGACCTCTGTCACCGGACCTCTGCCATGCTGGCTGAGCGGCTGCCAGGACCTCCAGCGTGAGGGATACAATCTGCTGGAGCCAAGTATTGCTGTATTTAAGGACCTGACTTTTCAAATAAGAAGACCCCACCCCCACCCCCCACCCCGCATGGGAGTGAGAGTGAGTGACCATCAGCCTGAGCCTCAGCCACTGAAAGGGTCTCGGCTGGAGCAGGCAGGCGAGAACGAGAGGACACAACAGCTCACACCCCTCCCAGTTTTGTCTTCCAGACCCTGGGACCCCGTGAGATGCTGAAACAGACCTGGGTACACACCACGCACAGGCCTGCCCGCCCCACACAAGGAAGATGTCCCAGGGCCAGGCTGTGTCTCTGCAAGCGTCCAGGTCACAGGCCAGAGTGCCGCCTCCTGCCCCTCGGGCTGCCCAGGTGGGGGAAGCTACCACAGAACCGTGTGCTGGCAGAAATGCATGTACGAACGTCTGCCCTCTGGACAGGATGTCTGATTAGGTACCTGGGCAGTGCAGACTGCTAAGAACTGATTAGAATTCTACCCAGCACTGTCCCCAGAACCCCACTCCACTCTGCAGCAGGTAGGTTCTCAAAGACACCACAGCACATCCATCTCCCAAATCAACACCCTGGTGGGGCCCAGAGGCAACATGGGCACGGACACGGCAGCCACGGGTCAGGTGAGCCCACACTCCAAGTGGTAAGAACAGTCATTCCAGGTTTCATTCTTGTTGCTGCAGAAAATCTTCATTACCTCCTGTCCAAGGTCTGTGGTTTCCAGAAGGATCCTGGGGTGGGAGGGAAGAGGAGCACAGTAGCCTCTAAGGCCCACCTCCCACATCCCGTTCATCGGTGGGACCTCACTCTTCCTCCTCCGCCCACGTGGCCAGTTCAAAGGTTACCGGCCGCTTGTGCGCGATGCTCATGGTAACAGGGCCTTGCCCCTGTGCCCCAGCTGAGAGAGGCTGATGGTGGACACGGGATGCTTCCTTTTGTAGGAAAGGCCACCCAACATGGACCTGTGGCCTCCTCTGCTGAGAGGT